TGCTATTTTACGCTGGTATTCTGTGAGAGCGTGGACCTTCCCCGGTCGAGCCGAGCCATTCGTGCTACAACTATACTACTAATATAGCTGCAGCATGGCTCTACCACGTATAAAAGAACTGGAGACATTTTATCTTATTCCTCAGAGGTGACAACGAATCTGCATTTAGATTTTTAATCGAGGGTAGATGTAGGTGTCTATCTAACTTGAGGGTGAAGTTGAGTTGTGCTTGTTTGTCACCATCACTCTCATTTAAAAAAAAATCGAAACCATACTCAACTTATTGTAAGAACACGCACTGCACAAATATGCACTTAAAACCATATCAGTTGCAATTGATGATGGGATGTGATGATAAAATCACACACCTCTCTTTGTTGGTCTGAGGCTGATAAAAAATTTTTAGTGCGTAGCTGTGATGATAAAGGTACATCATGGTTTTGTCTGAATTTATAAAATTTTGCTTAAAAAGGTTTGGGCAAAACCATTCTAAAAATATGGCATCAGTCTAACATAGTGTCGTAACACTAGATACTATATATCAAAACCTACGATTAATTGTTTTTGAAGTCATGAGAGTAGGCTCAAAGACGTTTCACTTTAGATCAGACAGCGTTCTTTGTTTTAATTTAATTTAAAAGGTACAATAATTATCAACGTTACTTTCCAACAACATATAAATATAGTATAATTTATATATTTAAAAACGACAGTAGCCGAATGACAGGTCGTGGGTTCGAATCCACCATTCGACTACTGTCGTGAACCACTCTTGACACAAGCATATTAAGCTTACTAGGAGTGATTAAAAGGAATATTAGTAATGATTAGTGTTACTAGTACTTTCTAAAAAAAATTAACAAGTAATATAAAGATAGTAAGTAAGTTAAATGGGGTCGCCTTTCATAAAAACCAATATTCACTTTATACATTCGTAAACATTGTCTGTTGTAAGAAATTTAATTTAAAAAAAAAAGGTTTGCAACTCCTTAGCTGGCGCAGAAAAAAGCGATATCTTGCACTTGGCCAATATTTGAAAAGAAAACAAAGCACGAATTAATTAAGTGTAGCTATGAAATGGTTTGCTTAAAGATTACGTATCTTTAAACAATCACCAAAAATCAGAACACCAAGACAATAAACACGCGTCAAAAACTGGAACATATATTATTTTTTCCACATACTTCAAAGTTAAGAAACGCACTAATCAAAGTTGAAATCTGCGAAAACAAAAATAAATAAACCTTACTCTCCCTTGATTACTTTTTTATAAGTTCAAGTGAGATATAATACCTAATATTATTTAAATAAAAAGGAAATTTAATATGTATATTTATTTATTTATTTGTACTTTAATTAAAACTGTTAAACCAAAATTAATCTCATTGTGTTCCCTTCTTTATAATTTTATACATTCATTATCAAAGACTTTTATGTATAATAATAGACCGACATGTGTCACAGCTGTAGATCACTAGCGGTAACTATGCCACGTAGGTGCATTTTCATTTACGACAGTTTCTGTTTTTAGGCAAATATGAAATAAAGTTACATACTTATCTGAAATAAACTTCAAATCACGTTGACAAAGTTCTCACATAAATTATGATAGCGTTTTCTTTGTCACATTAAACAGAATCAGTGTTGGATTGTTGAAAACAACGTTCGCGGTTTACAAAACAAAGAACAAGTCTTTTTTGCCACTCGCAGTGCACTTAAGGAATTACGCAGAATTAACCATAACTTAATGCGGAATGTAAAAAGGTCTAGCAGTATACATTGAAGTCTTCGATTATTATATTTCGATTATCGATTATTTACTGATTAAATTTCTTGTAATCATGTGTGATAGAAATCTTCCTTTTTCTGCAAATATTTGATAGTGTCACAATGCGTGAAAGTTAAATATAAAATATAACCACAAACTAAAACCCCTAAACCTACACTTTTAAAATATTTCAAGCTTAAACATTGCCACATTTGTCCCTAAAATGTTTAAAACCCTAAAAGACACCATATTATTAAAATTATTTAAAGGTTTTTAATATCCATATTTGAAAGTTGTGTATTAAAAAAAATGTTTCTGATATCTACGTATAACCTCAAAATATCTCACATGAAGTATGTCGTAGTCTTAACAACGAAATTTAAAATAAAATGTACATGCAGTATGTATCAAAATCGTTTTGATGCATAAACTTGTTTTTAACAGTGTTACCATAACACATTTATTTATATATTCCGAAAAATCTCTACGCTACATAATATAAATCTCACTATGAATCTTTTAAAATGTGAATCAACCACGATGCCATCCATAACCGTAAATATAAAATACATTTATATTTTTATAATTCCAACATACAAGGAAAATTAGAAGTGGATACGAAACATTAATGGAACTTTTATTCATTCATTCGAGGGTATGAACGAACCCAGTTCAATTCCGAGGCAATGTTCTAGGTTTAAGATATTCAGTCAGTGATAAGTTAACTAGTTTGAATACTAAAAAAGTTCTAAAATTCTAAGATGTACACAATATACACAAGAGAGATATACATTTAAAGTTATGTTTAAATATTGATCTATATACAGTAGATTATACCTTTAATAAATATTATCATGTACTTCTCAACAGTGAATTAGTAACCGTACTAAACATGGACGCAAATGCAAATAAGTAACTCGACGCGAACTACAAATAATGATCTATTTTTACTTATTATCAAATAGTTACAGCATTAATCTAGATATTTGGGCAGTAACGACATATAGTCTTTTTATTTTAAAAATGTTTGCAATACCCGATCGTAAATTACCCTTCGAGCGTTAGAAAGAGTCTATCGGCTAAAATCAGCTTTGCAGACCGTTATCTCTGTCGCACGAGGATTACCATGTGATATTTACTTAGAGTTTTAAATTGCGTAGTTTGTAATGCAATAAAAAAAACACGAAATAGAACTATGATTACAAATGGATGCGACCAATTTCCTAAGTAAAGAGATGTTTTAAAATGTGCCAGGTACACTACCTCAAAAAACTAAGAAAACTATGTGGAATTTGAGAAAAATACATAAAATTAGTGTAATAGTATGTACTTTAGTGGTTCAAAATAATTATTCAATCAATTATTTTAGTCAACTTTCAATATAGCGTCTCTCTGATTAAAAAAAGAAGGTGAACCATAGATTAAAATGAACTGTCAGCTGTCAAGTGTCACGTGTATTAATTATCATGTCAAACGTCATTGAATCATGTCAAACGTCATTAAATTAAATGACATATTATAGCCATGATGCTTTTTGTAGTGTCTTGCTATTGGTTCTATGTGTAATTTTTTAAGCCTTATACAAAATTGATAGTCAAAAACTGTTCATGTGTTATTGCCTATTTTTTGTTGTAGTATACAGAGTCCATACAATTTGAAACATCTCATTTGTGCCAGTGATAATGATATGTCTGCACGTAGAACATCATACAGGTGATAATAACCTATAAAACCGAGGGTAGACGTATATTGCAGATAGTCTCTTCCTATGACTCTACGTGTAAAATTTACTTTCGCGTACGTACTTATATTTTTATAAGTAATATCTTTAATATTGTTTAAATCTTTAATTAAATCATTAGATAATATTTCATTCAAAGCTAACTAAATATTTTTAGATACTTTATTGGTAACTTAAGTTTTTATTAGTAACCTAAAAAGTTTTAACTTTTAATATAGCAACACATAGATGTGTGGTCGTAATTGTATGCATAGTATTTTTAAAGTAGTTTTAAACTGATTTGCAGTCATTTTTTTTTTCAGAACAGAAATTTGGATTGCAATTGAATTAAGCCAAATGACTTGCTTATGACATGGCATACAATACAAAGCATGTTATAGTATGTGATTTTAGTTAAGAACACACCATTGATGTCCTTTATAAATCTAAGGTAGAATGATAAAGGGTATCAACATGGATCCTACATAATATAAGGAAGGTACTATCAATGAGAAGTATTTTGTACAAAATGGAATAATAACTTTATGGAACGGACTGGGTTTTTTACATGTTGATGAATATATATTCTTTAATTAAAGTATATTGACTTATGTCGTATTATTACTTTATTTGGATTTTTTTTTAATTTTGCTTTTAGCAGTATGGGTGTGATTTTAGTTGAAACTCTCTTTTTCCTCTTCTCTCTTTGTCCCTTGTCTCTCTTAAAATGCTTCTGCCCATCTTAGTGTGCACAGGTGACATGCATGGATTGATTTACAATTGCAAAAGTAAACATGTATGTTTGAAATAATGGAATTTATATGCAATGTAATTTTTTTAAATAGCGAGAGATAAGATTTATGACCGTACACCTAGGATGTGAAGAATGCGTAGTCCGAATTATGGTTTTTAATTAAGAGTGTAGTGAGTTGTCAGAGAAATATTTGGCAGAGGGGTGTGGACAGGTGGGGTGGATAAACAGCATAGTTTAAGCGTTATGTGGCGGTATGTGAGTGCTGTGCTGTCATGTTAGTAGATATTTAGTTAAGTGAGTGTGGAGAGACGCGAAGGGAAAATAGCGAGGTAAGAGTGGCAGATATATTATCGGAGAGCTATGGGAGTGTGAGGAGGCTGCGCGATCAGAACGGCAGATATAACACTATAATAATGCGATGCAGGGTTTGGTAGCTTGGTTGGGTGGTAAGGTAGGGCGGGCACAGCGATAGGTGTAACTCTAAGAGAGCGAGTGGAAATGGGGTGGAGTAACAGATTCCGTCCTGTTTCCATACTCTTTTGCTTTGGGTTGGGCAGAAGGTAGCGCAGTCAGAGTGGCAGGTGTTCCGCTAGGAGAGTGTGGGGAGGTAAGTCGTGGTAATAGAGTTGGACAGGTAGGTAGCACAGTTAGAATAGTAGGTTAGAACACTAGGAGAACGCAGCAACAGGGTTGGGCGAGGAAATACAGGGTTTAGCGCGGCAGGTGTGTCACTAGGCTCGTACGTAGAGGCGCGGAGGTCAGAGCGGCAGGTCGAGCGCCAGCGGCGCGGCGAGCGGCGCGGCGAGCGGCGCGGCGGGGTGCAGCTGCAGCGCGGCGGCGGCGGCGTCGGCGGCGGCGGCCGGCTCGCCCAGCGCGCCCAGCACGAGCGCCAGGCGCCGCCACGTGTCGGCGCGCAGCGGGCCCAGCGCGCCCGCCTCGCGCAGCGCGCGCTCCGCCAGCCGCAGCCAGCCCAGCTCGTAGTACGCCGACCCTACGCCACACACACACCCATACACCGCCCGCTCGCTATACTTACGACTCCTGGGTACGTACCACGTTCTATCTCTACCCACGACTTATATGTATACTACGAGACGGGCCCCGCAAATTTAACACACCAAAGACATCTATGGATACTACGGGACGAACACTATAATAAATACATTGCGCACTAAGTTACTCTCCGTAACTTCTTCAGTCAAGTGCAAGCAGATGAGAAAACAAGTTTTTTTTGTTTTGCAAACCGCCAACGTTATTTTCAACAATATAACAATAACTTTATTTAATGTGACTAAGAAAAAACTTTATCATTATTTAATGCACACTTTATCAACGTGATTTGAAGTTTATTTCAGATAAGTATGTAAATAAAGTTTATTTTCAACACAACTTGTCTAAAACGAAACTAAATCACAACTTGAACAGTAACCGCCCAGCAACCCGCGCAACACAGTTTTTTTTTCTAAATTGTCAGTCCAGTGGTATACAAAAAAGTCTTTGATGTCTACCCTCAAATAGCAGTGCACACACTGCTACGTTTCGGTCTGAAGAGTAATTACAAGCTTCCTGTACATATATATAAGATAGAGTAATAAACATATAAACATAGATAAACAACCACAAATTTCATCTGATACTCAGTGGATACTATTACCTATACGTATCCACATCTATCCTAGGTTCAGAATCAAAATGCAGATACACTGTCGTCCCTAAGTACTAAGATATAATACCTTCTATTCTATTCTATTCTATTTCTATTCTATATAAAATACTGCAGTATTAAGTTGCTATTAATGTATTCAGAACGTGGTGCTTCCACGGTCGAGCCAAAGCCATGCTGCAGTTATAAGATTCGTGCTGCAAACAATCTTATACGTTACATAAAACATTGTCAACATACAAGTCTATGAGGTATTACATCCTATTATCAAAGGTGTTCACGCACAAGTAGCCTTATTTGTATGAAATTGTGTGTATGGACTGGAGTAACCACTTACCATCAAGTAAGCAGAAGTTCGTTATTAAGTTCAGTTTTATATAATAAAAAAGACTTAACAATATTTAGTACAACTGAAATGACAAACAAACTTACAATCCATCCTGCAGCAAACTTCAAACAATGAAAGACTACAGATGTGTCGTCACCTCTGGGGACTAAGATGAAATTCCCATCAGCCTGTATTTATACTAACTCTATACCCTTTTATAGCAGAACACAGCAATACACGCACTGTTATTTGGCAGCAGAAATGACTAAGAAAGTGGTACATACCCATACGGACTCTTAGGTAGAAAATAAATCCTTAGCACCTAATATACATTAGCAAACCGGAGTCACGAAATTGCCGGTGTTTCATCCCATGCCCCAGAAAGCATGTAAAGTCGTATCGCTTTCATGAGACTTTGAGAATCAGGGAATAGGGGGTGCAACTGTGCTTGCACACACACCCTGTTTAGGCAAGAATATTATACCTTCGAAACGTATTCTTTAACGTGCGCGCTTAGTCTCGATATCGAGGTCACCTTCCCCTCCCCCGGCGGCATTACGCGGCGGAATCGGACAGACTTCTCGAGAGTCATTGTAGAATTCCTTGCGAGCTATACTGACGTCTGTTTTCCGCGCCTAACTTGTTACGAAAGTATCAACCCGCGTAAATCGTTGTGAGAACCCGTATCGTTCATTAGGACTTACTAACTCTGTTAAATTAATTGTGCAACTATAATAGTGATTTACCTCTGAAGTACTACGTGTAGCTGTCCCATTTCGTGACAAACCAGGAAGAGTGCCTCCAGAGGGGGAAAGTTCCGAGGATACCAGCGCATACCTTCTCCCGGACGACATTGCGTCATCCAGACCAGGCCACGTCAACATACACGTACATACAATCACACATACACTCACGACACTGTCATCAGCCGGGCCGGTCTTGGAGAACCGTCTCCGCTCCTGGAGCAGGTGAGTGCCTTTATCATAGTGATCTTTCCCCTCGTTTATTTCTATTAGAAATTTCCACTTTGGCCAAAAGCCCGACCTGTATCTGCCTGTAGGATCTTCCTACAATGGGCCTAGGTGGATACTACCATTAGCTAGGCAGCTGCAGGCCGTAACACTTGGTAGCAGAAGCGTGGCTGATTGTGTCTACAATCACGCCCGGCCGTAATACGTAAAATTAATATAAATAATAATTCTTTCTTGTTGCATAGTGGCTCGCCTTTTCTCTGTTGTTAGGAGGTAGTTTACTAACGCCACGCCCGTAGGTAACAAGCGAGAATTGTTGAGGCGAAGTATTTGATTAGATACATAAGGCTGTCACGTAATGGGATAATTGTTAATCGTACTAGGGTTGTTACGTGCTAATTTGATTTGTGTTTTTTCGTATTAACTTGTATTTAATAATTGTGTAATTTCTATCTAACCTGATTGATATTATCGTATTAGTAGTACTGTATTCGTTATTTCTGTTATTTTGTTATTGTATTTAGTAAGGATGCCGTCACATAAGCTACTAATTCGTTGCTTGCGGACTGAGCTGCGCTGGGCTACCAGCGCACACGCGTTGATAGGCCGACCGGACAGGGTCTATAATCTGAGGAAGAGGCTCGAGCAGGTCGATGCTCGAAGGGCTGCCGTGGAGGAGGCTTACTCTGAGCTCGAGGACTCGGAGGTGGAAAAGGGAGTCCTGGACTCCTGTCGCGCGGACTACGAGCAGTTCCTCGCGCTAACGGACGACCTGATCGAGGCGGGGGCCAAGGACGCGGAGGGGGAGCGCGAAGCTCGGCTGAGTAGCCTTCTCGAGTCCCCGCGGAAGCCGCCTCCTCAGCCAGAGCTGCTAGGACGACTCCACACGCTGGACCTGCCAAGGTTCTCCGGGGTCCTCTCGGAATGGCTGACATTCGTCGGCATGTTTGACAGCCTGGTGGACGCCCGGAGGGACTTGACCCCCTGCCAAAAAATGGGGTACCTCCTGGCATCACTGGAGGGGGAGGCCCTGGGCGTCGTCGGCCACCTTAAGTTGTCGGACGACGCCTACCAAAACGCCAGGGACCTCCTCGCTGGAAGGTACGCCAACGTCCGGCGGATTGCGGACGATCATGTTCGGAGGCTGCTGAACCTCCCGCTGCTGAAGGACCGGACTAGACTACGTGAAGACATAGTGAGTCCAGTCGTCGTAGCGTGCAACTCGTTGCGGCGGCTGGATTTACCTGTGGAAGAGTGGTCTTTTCTGCTCCTTCATATAGTGCTGTCCCACCTGCCCCTCGACCTTCGGCTCCATTTTGAGGAGAGGTACGGAGGGGATGGCGCCTCGTACATGCCCCCCTTTAGGGACCTGCTGCGGTTCCTGGAGGAGCAGTGTAGGCAGCTGGAGAACGCAGCAGGCGCCGTCGAGGGCCCCCCGGCCGCCTCCCGAGCGGTGCCCAGGGAGAGGCGGAATCAGCCGGCCAAGGAGGCGCCCACCCCCCTGAGGCCGAGAAGAGCCCCCGCGGGAGGGCGCCCCCCAGTACCCTCCTATAGTGGCCTAGCGGCCCGGGAGGCGCCTCCCTGCTCCTATTGTCGAGCATCCGACCACCGGGCGGCGTCGAGCCCGAAGTTGTTGCGCAAGCCGGCTACGGCGAGGCGAACCATCGCCAGGGAGCGCCGCTGGTGCTTCTCGTGCCTGGAGAGGCATTTACAACGAGACTGCCCGCACCAGCGGCCCTGCACGCACTGCCAGGGCAACCATCACGTCATATTGTGCCTGGGTGCGCGCGGCTCGTCCTCTCAGGGCCCTGCCAGCCCCTCGACTCCCACGGGCGGGGGCGCCCAGCCACGCCCACTGTCGGGCGACGCTCGGCGCTCACCGGTGGACCACAGCGCCCCTCGTTCTGAGGGGAGTCTCTCCCCCGATCGGTCTGGGAGTCGTTCCCCCAGAGGCGGGGGGGTCTTCACCCCCCTCAGCAGGTTGATAGTGGATTCGCAGCCACTCAGCGGTCAGCTAGACCGTTCTCACCCCCGTTGGCTGAGTGGCCGCGACTGGAACGCCGCCCGCCCCCCTTTGGTCGGTGCCGGTACTACCGGGTTCCGGAGACTGCGTATCGGCCCCGGGCCTTGGAGCCGAGGATCCCCGAGTTTCCCCAGGTCGGCCCGTTCGGGGAATTCCAGTCAAGGGTCACCGAGACGCCGTCGGAGTGCCGCTCTCGGGGCCCCCGGTTCGGGTGCCGGTCCAACAGAGGCAGCTCCAGATAGGAGGCTGCCGCCCTAGCTCCCGCCATGGCCGCCTCCACTGAGCCTATAAATCGTCAGCAGTCCACCTGTCAAACTGTTCTATTGCCGACGGCCTCAGTGAAGGTTTACAACCCGAGCGGCGACCGCTTAACGGTTCGAGCTCTATTGGGTTCGGGTTCCCAACGTAGCGTGGCCTCTACTCGGTTGGTGGGAAGACTGGGGCTCCCCTGGAGCTCTGAATCACGTCCGATGGTAGGTATCGGAGGTGCCGAGCCTCCTGCTCCTAGGGGACAAGCGGAGTTGGTGTTCAGCCCTGACAGCAAACACCTTCGTATTTTAATCAAGGTAAATGTCCTCGACGACATTGTAGGGTTTCTCCCTAACGTTCGTATAAATGACAGTGCTGTGCGCTGTGCGTCGGCTTTGAGACCGGCAGACCCTCGGTGGGCCCAACCTGGGCCTATAGATTTGATACTGGGGGCCGACACGCTGGGTGTCCTCTTGTTAGGTGAGATACGAGCTCTGCAGCCCGATGGCCTGTCAGCCATTTCCACGATATTTGGGCACAGCTTCTTTGGACCGGTTATGTGGTCTCCTCCCCCTCCGACGGCCGACCCGCTCTCCGTCGTGGGCGTGTCCCTATCGGACGCCGTCCAGCGGTTCTGGGAAATTGAGGAACCACCACATGCAGCTCGAGTCGACCCTCTGGACCGTGAGTGTGAGTTGTTCTACCAGAACAATACCGGCCGGCGGGTTGACGGTCGTTTCGTCACTCGCTTACCCTTTCTGGACTCACGTCCCTCTTTGGGTCAATCTCGTGCTCTGGCTGAGAAGAGGTTGCTTTCCATGGAGCGCCGCATGCGGCGCGACCCAGCCTTTCGCGACAAATATGTCAAGTTCATGCGCGAGTATCAGGAGCTGGGTCACATGTCACCGTCCAACTTCGAATGGCGTTCACAGGAGCACTACTTCCTCCCTCACCATGCGGTCTTGAGGACCCCTGAGAGTAAGATTCGGGTAGTTTTTGACGGTTCCGCCCCCACATCAAACGGTGTGTCTCTGAACCAGTGTCTTCACTCGGGTCCTAAACTGATCAAGGACATATCCGACATCTTGACCCAATTCCGTCGACACCAAGTGGTTTTTGTCGCGGAGATTCGGATGATGTTTCGCCAATCAGTGGTCCATCGTGATGACCGCCGATATCAGCTGATATTGTGGCGCGAGAAGCCCAGCGATCCTATACAGGTGTTTGAGTTGAACACCACCACATAAGGACTCCGGTCCAGCCCGTATATCGCCATGCGAACCCTCCTTGAACTCGCTGAGAGAGAGCGCCTGAGATACGCTCGGGGAGCTTCTATTTTGGAGACTTCGGTCTACATGGACGACATTTGTACGGGCGCTTCCACCGTCGAAGAGGCTCTGGTCTTGCGAGACGAATTAATTTCCATCCTGAAGTCCGGAGGCTATGAGTTGCGCAAGTGGTTGTCGAACTCCCCTCATATTTTGAAGGACCTCCCAGGAGAGGATCAACAAGACCCTCATCTGTTCGAGCACCCTGAGAATCCTAATTTGTTGACTGTGCTGGGCATTCAATATCAGCCTGTTCAGGACACCTTTACGTATAGAGTAAAACTTGACCCACCGCCCAAAGCATGGACCAAACGCTTCGTGCTGTCCACCGTATCCCGCACCTTCGACCCTAATGGGTGGATCACCCCGGTCATCTTTTTAGCTAAGTGCTTTCTTCAAAAGCTCTGGATGTCCGGGTTGGGTTGGGACGAGCCGATTGGCGGAGCCCTCTTGCGAGAGTGGCTCTCCATGCTCTCCTCCCTTCCGGATATCAACCGGGTTTCCATGCCAAGGTGCTTCCATCCCCCCGGGAAATGTCGGGCTACCCTACATGGGTTTTGCAACGCCTCTGAGAAGGGCTATGCTGCTGTCGTATATTTGCGGACGGTGAGTTCCTCTGGTCATACTGCCGTCCATCTCGTACTCGCTAAAAGCAAGGTTGCTCCCATTAGGTCCCGCTTAACTATCCCTAAATTGGAACTGTCCGGTGCCGCTCTCCTCACGCGATTCCTCAACCACGTTCACTCTTCCTTGAAGCCTGTAATCGACATTACGGGCGTCTACGCATGGTCGGACAGTGAGATAGTACTTTGTTGGCTCCGAGCTGCACCTCACAATCTTGAGGTCTTTGTGGCGAACCGCGTGTCTCAAATCCAGAGTTCTGAGACTTCTCTCAACTGGCGACATGTCCCAGGGGAGTTGAATCTCGCGGACTGCGCTTCTCGCGGCTGTGAGGCCCCATCGCTGGTTGACCACCCACTGTGGTGGGGTCCCGGTTGGTTATCTGGGTCTCAGTCATTCTGGCCCCCGGGCAATTACTCCGAACCTACCGAATTGCCGGGCCTACGAGCCCGGGTAGGAGTGGGCAAGGATAAGCCCACTCGGGATCTCTCTCTTCTGGAACGGTACAGCTCCCTCGATAAGCTCTTGGGAGTTACTGCTTGGTTGCGCCGCTTTGTCCGCAATTCGAGATACCCATCCCACCGACTCTCTGATAGCGTTTTGTCCCCTAGCGAGAGCCGTGAAGCTTTGATGCACTGGACCCGTATGGTCCAAACGGAGCAATTTGAGCCCGTCATTGAAAACTTGAAGCATGGCTCCGTTATCAAGGGCGCCCTGGCCCGCCTGAACCTCTTTCTGGATAACGCGGGGATGCTGCGCGTTGGCGGACGTTTAAAAAATTCTCAACTGCCGTACGGGGCTCGACACCCGTTGGCCCCTAAGGACGGCGCCCTGGTCCGGTTGCTGGTAGCCCACCACCATATTAAGAATGCCCACGCTGGGTGCAACGCTCTTTCGGCTATTTTACAGCGGGAGTTTTGGATTTTGGCTGGCCGACGTATCATCCGGAGCGTCATCTTTAAGTGCATATCCTGTTATAAACTGAAGGCCACCATATCGCAGCCCCTCATGGGTGACTTGCCGCCCGACCGCGTCAGGGCCATCCGACCATTTGCTGGAGTCGGAACCGACTTTGCTGGCCCCTTCCTCGTCAAGTCCTCTAACCTTCGTAACGCTCGTTCGCATAAGGCCTATTTTGCGTCTTCGTGTGCCTCTCCACTAAAGCCGTTCACTTGGAACTTGTAAGCGCCCTCAGCACGGAAGCCTTCTTGGCCACGGTTGGCCGTTTCGTATCGCGGCGCGGGTTGCCGGACTTGATCCGGTCGGATTGCGGAACGAATTATAAGGGCACGGATAGGTATCTAAAGGAGGTCGTCGAGTTTCTGTCTAGCCACCAGACTTATTTAGGCAATGCTATGTCAAAAAGGGGCATCCAGTGGAAATTCGACCCTCCAGCGTGTCCCCACTGGGGCGGTATTTTCGAGGCGGTGGTTAAAGTGGCAAAAACGCATCTCCGTCGCGTTATTGGTGAAGCTATTTTGACATTTGAGGAGATCGCCACTGTATTCTGTAAAATTGAGGCGGTACTCAACTCTCGGCCCCTCTGTCCCCTCTCCTCCGACCCGAATGATTTGGAAGTTCTAACCCCGGGACACTTCCTGATTGGCCAGCCTCTTAACGCTCAGCCCGAGTACCCCTTCAGGGAAACGAGCGCTTCACGGCTTAGCAGGTTTGCCCTGCTGCAACAGATGACTCAAAGCTTTTGGCACCGATGGTCTCTGGAGTACCTACATCTTTTGCAGCAGCGCGTTAAGTGGTCTGACAAGACGGAGCCTCCTCGGGTGGGAGACCTCGTGTTGGTTAAAGAACCAAACGCTCTACCTTTGTATTGTCGCCGTGGGCGCATTGTTAAGTTGTCGTATGGAGCAGATGGGGTGCCTAGAGTGGCCGAGGTTTTGGTCGGAGATTCGGTCTTGCAACGTGCCGTCGCGACCTTGTCCCGTTTGCCAATCTACTCGCGGACCTAATGCCTTATGTCCGGGGCGGGGGTTTGTTTAGGCAAGAATATTATACCTTCGAAACGTATTCTTTAACGTGCGCGCTTAGTCTCGATATCGAGGTCACCTTCCCCTCCCCCGGCGGCATTACGCGGCGGAATCGGACGGACTTCTCGAGAGTCATTGTAGAATTCCTTGCGAGCTATACTGACGTCTGTTTTCCGCGCCTAACTTGTTACGAAAGTATCAACCCGCGTAAATCGTTGTGAGAACCCGTATCGTTCATTAGGACTTACTAACTCTGTTAAATTAATTGTGCAACTATAATAGTAATTTACCTCTGAAGTACTACGTGTAGCTGTCCCATTTCGTGACAAACCAGGAAGAGTGCCTCCAGAGGGGGAAAGTTCCGAGGATACCAGCGCATACCTTCTCCCGGACGACATTGCGTCATCCAGACCAGGCCACGTCAACATACACGTACATACAATCACACATACACTCACGACACTGTCATCAGCCGGGCCGGTCTTGGAGAACCGTCTCCGCTCCTGGAGCAGGTGAGTGCCTATATCATAGTGATCTTTCCCCTCGTTTATTTCTATTAGAAATTTCCACTTTGGCCAAAAGCCCGACCTGTATCTGCCTGTAGGATCTTCCTACTATGGGCCTAGGTGGATACTACCATTAGCTAGGCAGCTGCAGGCCGTAACACATCCAGACACTGTAATCCTGTCCTCCTACACCGATGTCTAATCTCTTTTTATACTAGTCGCCGTGGTAAAAAAAAAATCTGCAAAACATTCAGTCTCTCCAAAATCAACTACCCATACAGTCACTCATTGGGTTTGTTATCATTACTATTGAAATGCTATGCAGGTGGTGCAGCACATCTCTTATTCAGTTTCCCTCTGTGACCTCTTACAACACCCACAAGATAATATGTAGTTGTGGATTATTTTTCACCACCACGACAATTTATGACCATCCAATGAATAAAATATATTATGTCCAACTTCCATGGTAGATCTCATCTAGTATTCCTCAAAATTTAAAATGTTAAAAATCATCCAGCGTGCTATGGAAATGCTGAGATTCTACGCGAGATAGAATCCGTAACGAAGACATTCGTAATAGAACTTGAGTAGGTGATATAGTCCAACGGATCAGTTAACTAAAATGGTAATAGGCCTACTATATAGCTCGAAGGACCAACAACCAATTCACACCTATAACTTGTCGGTTTTTCTAACTATGCGGCTAAGATTATTGTGTAGCAGCTATATAAAAGTAAAAAAGAAAAGAAACTTACCAAGCTGAACCATACTGTCTAGGTGCGTAGGGTGTATTGCTAACGCGTTCTGAAAGCATTGTCTCGCCTCCTCCCACTCCGAACTTGCCGCGTGAACCAATCCACGCTATTAGAGAAAAATAAAGTTTCCATTGTAATCTACTACCAATTTTAAAAACCATCCCATTCATCATGTATGTGTTAATATCACTGTCAAGAAATTACGATACTAGTCTGTACATGCAACAAAATCGAAAAAGAAAAACTAAAGCACATTATATTTGCGTTTTCATTAACAAAATATAACTTGGTTATTCATCCAACAGTGCTGAATTTCTAAGGCGGCCGTGGCGATTAGTCTGGAACAATCAATTGTCCGCGACAGCCGTGTCGGTTAGATGTCGGGAAGTTACGTTAGAATCGTTAGGTCGCGTTAAGACCGCCTCCTTGCGTTGTCTTATTTCGTTCGTATACATGACAACGAGGCTTTCCTTGAGTTTTGAGTGATTAATTTAACTTCGATTGCCATTAATTTGCGTCGACGAGTTGCTTGTTTGGTATTTTAATATCGTACGAAGGAATTTTTGCTTTGTCGGATGGGACACTAAAACTTTGTGACCCGAGAGGAGATCGCGTTCCTCTTCGATTATAGCTTTGTGCTAAGTGACGTTAGACTTGAGTTCAGATAACGGTGAACGCCCACTGGAGTGATCGAACATTGTGGAGCAGAGCAATGCATGTAGGTTTGCTGGCCGATTACATCGGTGACGTCAGGTTACATTTACACACTTTCTTACACTACTTACACGCACCACCACTTATCCATGACGGTACCTTGTGGTCGACCCTACCTCCGGATCTCGGTAAGTTTGTGTTTGTTTATCCAGCCATTACATAATAATTATCCATAGGCTATTTGGGCCCGAACCCTCTGGTTGCCCGTCGAGTGGATCACTCATGAGCCCTGGTCCAGTCGACTTCTGTCGGGGCAATTGAGGGCCGTAACAGTGGAATTTATTGTCACCAGCAGTTTTGCCGACCCAATACGACTTAAGACCCTCTCTAAAACAATGGAAAGCATCTGTAATTGGTAAGCGCCACTCCAAAATAGAAATAGAAATATTTTTATTCAAAATTGATTATACTTATTGAAAGTCATTCTTATGTTTAATTTACCACATACCGGAATGTAGGTTTTTTATTATAGGATAGGGTGACAAACGAGCACACAGTTCGCCTGATGGTAAGTGGTTACTGTGGCCCATAGATATCTACATTTATCCTCGTTTGCGAATCAAAATGCAGATGCGTTGTCACCCGTGAGGACTAAGATGGAATGCATCTTTTCCAGTAAAAATGGTCTCCGGTTCTCTACACTCACCATACGAAACGCTGGTATTTTGTGAGAGCGTGCTCCTTCCCCGGTTGAGCTGACCCATTCGTGCTACAACTATACTACTAATATAGCTGCAGCATGGCTCTACCACGTATATAAGGTAAGGCTGTGACTTACGCACCGCATCGTCACCAAGGTTATTCTGTTTCTTGCTCACAAAGTAAGAATTATTCGACACATGACAACCCTAACGTTGAACGTATCGCTTTAGAAGAGATAAGAGTTACGCTATAGGAAAGTTCGAGCTGAAATGCACTTTATTGCGTCAGTCCATGAGTCGCTATTTATTTAAATGTTTATGGGAGTTTTCTGTACATTGTATTGTAAGAATTCTGAAGTATAGCGGATGTTTAAAGTCACTTATTGGCTCTTAGTCACTTACTTACTACTTAACAGGTCAAGTGAACCGCATACTCGTTAGCCACCAGTACTATAAAAATTAAGATTTCTATGTCTACTATTGTATACTACTACTAGATTGACATTACAGTTCTAATGGGCACTAGTCCTACTACGCACGGCGCACGAAGTTACGATCAATTCTTTGTAACTTCTTTAGTAAATTGCGAGCGGACGAAAAGACACATTCTACGTTTTTGAAACCGCGAACGTTGTTTTTCACAATCTGACACTGATTTTGTTTGATGTGAAACGTTGTCATTATTTATATGCGCATTTTGTGAATGTGATTTGAAGTTTATTTCTGATAATGTGTAAATGTCAAAAATAGAAGTGCGTGGCATATTTACCGTGCCATCTACAATTCTGACACAATTTTCGTTCTAATTTGCCGTTCTGGTAGTATAGATAGTTTTTCTAAGTCTTTGTATAAAAAACATAAAAGTCAAGATGTGCAGAGATACATAAACAATAGTTACAGTGTAGAGCACGAGATGGCTGTGCGGCGTGAGGGCGGCCGCTTCCGACACACATCCAGCCGCAGCGTGCGTGCGGTCCAGCCTGTAAACAATTACAAAATGTCTATATTATATTGATATGAAATAGATTCGCGATTGAATTTAGTTATGGCAGAATGTGGAAAGAGACGTTAAAGCGTGTGTGTGACGTTAAGGACCTGAGGCAGAGGTCGGCGAGCAGCAGCCAGGCGTGCGCGCGGTGCTGCTGCAGAGACGTTAAAGCGTGTGTGTGACGTTAAGGACCTGAGGCAGAGGTCGGCGAGCAGCAGCCAGGCGTGCGCGCGGTGCTGCTGCAGAGACGTTAAAGCGTGTGTGTGACGTTAAGGACCTGAGGCAGAGGTCGGCGAGCAGCAGCCAGGCGTGCGCGCGGTGCTGCTGCAGAGACGTTAAAGCGTGTGTGTGACGTTAAGGACCTGAGGCAGAGGTCGGCGAGCAGCAGCCAGGCGTGCGCGCGGTGCTGCTGCAGAGACGTTAAAGCGTGTGTGTGACGTTAAGGACCTGAGGCAGAGGTCGGCGAGCAGCAGCCAGGCGTGCGCGCGGTGCTGCTGCAGAGACGTTAAAGCGTGTGTGTGACGTTAAGGACCTGAGGCAGAGGTCGGCGAGCAGCAGCCAGGCGTGCGCGCGGTGCTGCTGCAGAGACGTTAAAGCGTGTGTGTGACGTTAAGGACCTGAGGCAGAGGTCGGCGAGCAGCAGCCAGGCGTGCGCGCGGTGCTGCTGCAGAGACGTTAAAGCGTGTGTGTGACGTTAAGGACCTGAGGCAGAGGTCGGCGAGCAGCAGCCAGGCGTGCGCGCGGTGCTGCTGCAGAGACGTTAAAGCGTGTGTGTGACGTTAAGGACCTGAGGCAGAGGTCGGCGAGCAGCAGCCAGGCGTGCGCGCGGTGCTGCTGCAGAGACGTTAAAGCGTGTGTGTGACGTTAAGGACCTGAGGCAGAGGTCGGCGAGCAGCAGCCAGGCGTGCGCGCGGTGCTGCTGCAGAGACGTTAAAGCGTGTGTGTGACGTTAAGGACCTGAGGCAGAGGTCGGCGAGCAGCAGCCAGGCGTGCGCGCGGTGCTGCTGCAGAGACGTTAAAGCGTGTGTGTGACGTTAAGGACCTGAGGCAGAGGTCGGCGAGCAGCAGCCAGGCGTGCGCGCGGTGCTGCTGCAGAGACGTTAAAGCGTGTGTGTGACGTTAAGGACCTGAGGCAGAGGTCGGCGAGCAGCAGCCAGGCGAGCGCGCGGTGCTACTGCAGAGACGTTAAAGCGTGTGTGTGACGTTAAGGACCTGAGGCAGAGGTCGGCGAGCAGCAGCCAGGCGTGCGCGCGGTGCTGCTGCAGAGACGTTAAAGCGTGTGTGTGACGTTAAGGACCTGAGGCAGAGGTCGGCGAGCAACAGCCAGGCGTGCGCGCGGTGCTGCTGCAGAGACGTTAAAGCGTGTGTGTGACGTTAAGGACCTGAGGCAGAGGTCGGCGAGCAGCAGCCAGGCGTGCGCGCGGTGCTGCTGCAGAGACGTTAAAGCGTGTGTGTGACGTTAAGGACCTGAGGCAGAGGTCGGCGAGCAGCAGCCAGGCGTGCGCGCGGTGCTGCTGCAGAGACGTTAAAGCGTGTGTGTGACGTTAAGGACCTGAGGCAGAGGTCGGCGAGCAGCAGCCAGGCGTGCGCGCGGTGCTGCTGCAGAGACGTTAAGGACCTGAGGCAGAGGTCGGCGAGCAGCAGCCAGGCGAGCGCGCGGTGCTGCTGCAGAGACGTTAAAGCGTGTGTGTGACGTTAAGGACCTGAGGCAGAGGTCGGCGAGCAGCAGCCAGGCGTGCGCGCGGTGCTGCTGCAGAGACGTTAAGGACCTGAGGCAGAGGTCGGCGAGCAGCAGCCAGGCGAGCGCGCGGTGCTGCTGCAGAGACGTTAAAGCGTGTGTGTGACGTTAAGGACCTGAGGCAGAGGTCGGCGAGCAGCAGCCAGGCGTGCGCGCGGTGCTGCTGCAGAGACGTTAAAGCGTGTGTGTGACGTTAAGGACCTGAGGCAGAGGTCGGCGAGCAGCAGCCAGGCGTGCGCGCGGTGCTGCTGCAGAGACGTTAAAGCGTGTGTGTGACGTTAAGGACCTGAGGCAGAGGTCGGCGAGCAGCAGCCAGGCGTGCGCGCGGTGCTGCTGCAGAGACGTTAAAGCGTGTGTGTGACGTTAAGGACCTGAGGCAGAGGTCGGCGAGCAGCAGCCAGGCGTGCGCGCGGTGCTGCTGCAGAGACGTTAAAGCGTGTGTGTGACGTTAAGGACCTGAGGCAGAGGTCGGCGAGCAGCAGCCAGGCGTGCGCGCGGTGCTGCTGCAGAGACGTTAAAGCGTGTGTGTGACGTTAAGGACCTGAGGCAGAGGTCGGCGAGCAGCAGCCAGGCGTGCGCGCGGTGCTGCTGCAGAGACGTTAAAGCGTGTGTGTGACGTTAAGGACCTGAGGCAGAGGTCGGCGAGCAGCAGCCAGGCGTGCGCGCGGTGCTGCTGCAGAGACGTTAAAGCGTGTGTGTGACGTTAAGGACCTGAGGCAGAGGTCGGCGAGCAGCAGCCAGGCGTGCGCGCGGTGCTGCTGCAGAGACGTTAAAGCGTGTGTGTGACGTTAAGGACCTGAGGCAGAGGTCGGCGAGCAGCAGCCAGGCGTGCGCGCGGTGCTGCTGCAGAGACGTTAAAGCGTGTGTGTGACGTTAAGGACCTGAGGCAGAGGTCGGCGAGCAGCAGCCAGGCGTGCGCGCGGTGCTGCTGCAGAGACGTTAAAGCGTGTGTGTGACGTTAAGGACCTGAGGCAGAGGTCGGCGAGCAGCAGCCAGGCGTGCGCGCGGTGCTGCTGCAGAGACGTTAAAGCGTGTGTGTGACGTTAAGGACCTGAGGCAGAGGTCGGCGAGCAGCAGCCAGGCGTGCGCGCGGTGCTGCTGCAGAGACGTTAAAGCGTGTGTGTGACGTTAAGGACCTGAGGCAGAGGTCGGCGAGCAGCAGCCAGGCGTGCGCGCGGTGCTGCTGCAGAGACGTTAAAGCGTGTGTGTGACGTTAAGGACCTGAGGCAGAGGTCGGCGAGCAGCAGCCAGGCGTGCGCGCGGTGCTGCTGCAGAGACGTTAAAGCGTGTGTGTGACGTTAAGGACCTGAGGCAGAGGTCGGCGAGCAGCAGCCAGGCGTGCGCGCGGTGCTGCTGCAGAGACGTTAAAGCGTGTGTGTGACGTTAAGGACCTGAGGCAGAGGTCGGCGAGCAGCAGCCAGGCGTGCGCGCGGTGCTGCTGCAGAGACGTTAAAGCGTGTGTGTGACGTTAAGGACCTGAGGCAGAGGTCGGCGAGCAGCAGCCAGGCGTGCGCGCGGTGCTGCTGCAGAGACGTTAAAGCGTGTGTGTGACGTTAAGGACCTGAGGCAGAGGTCGGCGAGCAGCAGCCAGGCGTGCGCGCGGTGCTGCTGCAGAGACGTTAAAGCGTGTGTGTGACGTTAAGGACCTGAGGCAGAGGTCGGCGAGCAGCAGCCAGGCGTGCGCGCGGTGCTGCTGCAGAGACGTTAAAGCGTGTGTGTGACGTTAAGGACCTGAGGCAGAGGTCGGCGAGCAGCAGCCAGGCGTGCGCGCGGTGCTGCTGCAGAGACGTTAAAGCGTGTGTGTGACGTTAAGGACCTGAGGCAGAGGTCGGCGAGCAGCAGCCAGGCGTGCGCGCGGTGCTGCTGCAGAGACGTTAAAGCGTGTGTGTGACGTTAAGGACCTGAGGCAGAGGTCGGCGAGCAGCAGCCAGGCGTGCGCGCGGTGCTGCTGCAGAGACGTTAAAGCGTGTGTGTGACGTTAAGGACCTGAGGCAGAGGTCGGCGAGCAGCAGCCAGGCGTGCGCGCGGTGCTGCTGCAGAGACGTTAAAGCGTGTGTGTGACGTTAAGGACCTGAGGCAGAGGTCGGCGAGCAGCAGCCAGGCGTGCGCGCGGTGCTGCTGCAGAGACGTTAAAGCGTGTGTGTGACGTTAAGGACCTGAGGCAGAGGTCGGCGAGCAGCAGCCAGGCGTGCGCGCGGTGCTGCTGCAGAGACGTTAAAGCGTGTGTGTGACGTTAAGGACCTGAGGCAGAGGTCGGCGAGCAGCAGCCAGGCGTGCGCGCGGTGCTGCTGCAGAGACGTTAAAGCGTGTGTGTGACGTTAAGGACCTGAGGCAGAGGTCGGCGAGCAGCAGCCAGGCGTGCGCGCGGTGCTGCTGCAGAGACGTTAAAGCGTGTGTGTGACGTTAAGGACCTGAGGCAGAGGTCGGCGAGCAGCAGCCAGGCGTGCGCGCGGTGCTGCTGCAGAGACGTTAAAGCGTGTGTGTGACGTTAAGGACCTGAGGCAGAGGTCGGCGAGCAGCAGCCAGGCGTGCGCGCGGTGCTGCTGCAGAGACGTTAAGGACCTGAGGCAGAGGTCGGCGAGCAGCAGCCAGGCGAGCGCGCGGTGCTGCTGCAGAGACGTTAAAGCGTGTGTGTGACGTTAAGGACCTGAGGCAGAGGTCGGCGAGCAGCAGCCAGGCGTGCGCGCGGTGCTGCTGCAGAGACGTTAAAGCGTGTGTGTGACGTTAAGGACCTGAGGCAGAGGTCGGCGAGCAGCAGCCAGGCGTGCGCGCGGTGCTGCTGCAGCGGCGACAGCGCGTGCGCGCGCGCCGCCTCGCCGCCCTCCACGTCCGACAGCGCGCGCTCCGCAACAAACGCGCCCGCAGACTCCGCGCGAATCGACACTGCAACCACGCCGCTAATCACTCAAATCCTTTTAGCTAAACATTGCTTACATCAACAATGGGTAGCTAAACATTGCTTTCATAAACAATGCTTAGCTAACCATTGCTTACATGATCATTGTTAAGCAACACATTGCTTACATGATCAATGTTTAGCTAAATATTGCTTACATTTTTAGCGAAACATTATTAACATAATCAATAATAATCTAAACAAAACTTGCATAATCAATGTTTGACTAAGCATTGCTTACACGATCTACATTTAGCTAAGCATTGCTTACATGCTCTATGTTTAGCTAACATTAATTGCATGATAAATGTTTAGCTAAGCGTCGATTACACGTTCAACGATGTCATTTAGAAATATCATATATAAAATATTAAAGTGACAATAAAGTAAACTATATTATTTAAAATTAGGTTGCTCTGGAATAATGGTCATATTGTGAAATACAAAAGTAAATAAATAGAATCTCATTGTACCATGTTGGTGTCGTAAGAGGAGGCTTGGAAGCTCCGCCAGAACGGTGACGGGGAGCAACGTTGTTTATGCCCAAATTTGGTTATGTTTGAACGCCACCCAAATCATTATAATTGTGCCGTCGCGTTAAGTGTGTTTTTGTGTGTGTTGGCTTTGATTTTTTTGGCGATGAGGAGGGAGTTGCCCACTGGCCGCGAAGCGGGGAACCCGCGTAGCTGGTTTATCGCGGCCGAAGTTCACGCGACCGTTGTCGGGTCCAGATAGATTAAGGGCGTGTTACTTTCTTACGTGGATATGTGAATTTTGCAATATTTAACTTGTTCGGAGATGCGGCATTGAGCACGCGCGCATCGAGTAGATATACGGTCTAGGATTCGAACCGCGCATTCCTTGTTCGAGAGCTTCTCCCGGTTGATCGTCAGGAAATCATTATAATTGTGCCGTCGCGTTAAGTGCCCCTTTTTGTGTGTGTTGGCTTGTTAGTTTACGTGTCAACGACGCGTATTTTGAATCTTTTCGCGACGTAGTGGTTTGGTGTCGAATGAAGGAACTTAGTTGTGTTTAACGCTGAGTAGTATGACTCATTAAGAGATCGCTTTAATTCCCTCTTTATAATTTTGTGATAAGTGAATCCGGGACATTAAATGTCGAATAGGAACTACTGTCTTTACTGTGTCGGGTGTCACGTGTTTGATTCTACGATGAATGTGTAATTAGGCGAGTTTAAGTTAGTTAAATGTACAATGAAGCTAATAGACTGAAATAGTGACAAGGAAGAAAGAAATGGTCCAGCGGTGGAGCCTGCTGGAGCGATGCAGTGTTTTGGGGCAGCCTGGAACTCAGCCGCTGCTGTTCGCCTAAGGAGGTCAAGGTCTCACACATTTACACATCATTGAACACTACTTGTCATTCACCTTACACCCTCACGGCCTGACCGAGCCTTGGTGCGAAGTTAGCTTCTGATACTGGTACGTAATATGTGTTTCTAGCATTCTCCCATATAGCTTAGTGTTAGAGGAAATTCTTCCATATGGCCAGTTTGGGCCCGACCTGCGGCTGCTCGTGGAATCTTTTGCTCATGGGCCCCGGAAGATTCGACCCTTGCTGGAGCAGCTGTAGGCCGTAACAAACGTCAAGATCTAAGAAACCGCCACTTTGCTTGCTAAGCGTAACAATTAAGAAAAACCATCCCTACAACAGGAATGGCCTATGTCTAGCAGTGCACTTTTACGATCTTGTGAAGAAATTGACTTTTGTAACCGTATTTACTTCATTTGCAAATCGGAAGTCTATATTTAATAACCAGACAAAAATACATTTTAGTTCAAACTGACATCGTAATTCCTATCTTCTAATACATTTAGAAGATAGGAATTACGACAACATAATTCAAAGATAACAGAAATCATGTTTAAAAGATGTGAATCAAGATTACAATACTTTTAAGAATCAAATATTTAACTTACTGATAGGCTAAACTCTCATGCAACGTTGTATTTTAATACACTTTCAAAATGTCCACCACCTTGTTCAATACATTTTAATGACCGTTTTCTTAATTGATATTTAATTTAGATAGCAATTCAGTGTCATTTTTCACTATTCTAAAAGCGTTCACTATCCTATTTTTAGATCCTCGGCACTTGTTGTCTCACTAGAATAAACTAATGATTTAATACGTTCCCACAAAAAAAGGTTAAGAGGCGTCAAATCAGCTGATCTGGGAGGTCAATGGACAGGGCCGGTGCGACCGATGCAACGCACTTCAAACTCTGTATTTGTAAAGACTTTAACCTGCTTGAAATAAGGTACATTTTTCTTTATTTTGTATTGAATGACGGAATTTGTAATTAATACAAATAAAACTACACTTTTAAAAGTCTTATTACCTTAGTTACGGTCTATTTCAGTTTGTTTTGACTGTACAGGTTTAGTGTGACTGTAATTTATATATTTATTTATTGGTCTATAACTTTGATAAGTAGATCGCCATACGGATATTCCGAAGCTTGAAAGGTTAAGAAGCTAAATACCTGCATCTCTATTGCTCTGCGTGTCGTCGTGTTGTGAGTCAGATAACGCTTCCAGCTCAGCATACCCGTTCTGTTCTATGTCTGATTCCGCTTCTGTACTGTTCAGTAGCTTAAGTAGTTCTTTGCCTGTAGCGAGGGCCGCCTGAAAATGGATTATATGCTGACTAATACTTGATATGCAAGATATTGTTTTTATTATTTCTGTACGTGGTAGAGCCATGCTGCAGCTATATTAGTAGCATAGTTTTAGCACGAATGGGTCGGCTCTAAGGACCACGCTCTCACAGAAAACCAGCGTAAAATGGCACCTTAACACTGCTGTGTTTCGTATGGTGAGGGTAGAGAACCGGCGACCCTATTTACTTGAAAAGAGGCATTCCATCTTAGTCCTCACGGGTAGGACAGCGCATATGCATTTTTATTATTTATTGAAGATAGAGGTAGATATCTATGGGTCACAGTAATCACTTACAATCAGGTGGACTGTGTGCTTGTTATACCATATCCTATAAAAAATAAATTATGAATCTTTTATTCATAACATCTAGTGCAATACCATATAAGTCATACCCAAATCACGGTTATTCTTCTCAAAGCAATTTGATACTATTAAGTTGCAAAGTAAGAATGTTAATATGAATTTACCATCTTTAATTATCAGGATATTATGATAGAATACTAAGTTTCCTGTGGGTGTCGTTAAAGGAGACAGAGACAAACTGAAAAAGGAAATGGACAGCAGCATATTCGTGATAACAATTCAATATTATAAAAAATGCTGTTGTTAACTGGCCTTCCAAGCGTGGCAATTGTGGCAAAATCTCATCAGCAGTGTACTTATATAGGCTATAGTGATAGTGGAACAAGCAAAGTTTATTTCTTTCATCACTTACTATCGCCAATAATGTTGAACAATTGGATAGCAAATTACTAAATTAAAAAGTTTTATTTCTTATTTTTAACAATTTTTTAATGCAAATTCTAGGGAAAATTTTATTTTTGGTTTGTCTTAAAAACACTTGTAATTGCCATTATTTGCTTAGAGTCTAGTATTGTCTACTGTCTAACAGTCTTAGAAAAATTGCAATTTAAGTTTTCATGCGCTACATGATTGTGTTTCGGTAGTGTTTTCGTATGTGGGGGCGTAAGCGCGTAAGCGACTGGCTGGGTGCGAACTTAAAAGGTCGTGGGTTGGAATCCACTATTCGATTACTGTGTCAACCATTTCTAACACATAAGCTTACCAGGAGTGGTTAAAGGAAATTTTAGTAATGTTTATAGCAGTGCTAGTTTTATTTGTGTAATGTACGTGCGTGTACGTGTGTATACGTGTAAGTGCATATAAGTGAGCGTGTGTGTGCGTGTACGTGCGTGAACGTCAGCGTTCGCGTACTTGAGCATGTGTGTGTGTGTGTGTGTGTGTGTGTGTGTGTGTGTGTGTGTGCGCGCGCGTGTGTGCGTGTGAACGGCCAGTGCGGCCACTCGGCGGGCGGGTAGTGGTGGCGCGCAGCGTGTGTGTGCGTGTGTACGTACGTCGCCACTCTCCCAGACGAGCTGCAGCGCGGCGAGCGCCCAGAGCGGCCACTCGGCGTGCGGGTAGTGGTGGCGCGCAGCGTGTGTGTGCGTGTGTGCGTGTGTACGTACGTCGCCACTCTCCCAGACGAGCTGCAGCGCGGCGAGCGCCCAGAGCGGCCACTCGGCGTGCGGGTAGTGGTGGCGCGCAGCGTGTGTGTGCGTGTGTGCGTGTGTACGTACGTCGCCACTCTCCCAGACGAGCTGCAGCGCGGCGAGCGCCCAGAGCGGCCACTCGGCGTGCGGGTAGTGGTGGCGCGCAGCGTGTGTGTGCGTGTGTACGTACGTCGCCACTCTCCCAGACGAGCTGCAGCGCGGCGAGCGCCCAGAGCGGCCACTCGGCGTGCGGGTAGTGGTGGCGCGCAGCGTGTGTGTGCGTGTGTGCGTGTGTACGTACGTCGCCACTCTCCCAGACGAGCTGCAGCGCGGCGAGCGCCCAGAGCGGCCACTCGGCGTGCGGGTAGTGGTGGCGCGCAGCGTGTGTGTGCGTGTGTGCGTGTGTACGTACGTCGCCACTCTCCCAGACGAGCTGCAGCGCGGCGAGCGCCCAGAGCGGCCACTCGGCGTGCGGGTAGTGGTGGCGCGCAGCGTGTGTGTGCGTGTGTACGTACGTCGCCACTCTCCCAGACGAGCTGCAGCGCGGCGAGCGCCCAGAGCGGCCACTCGGCGTGCGGGTAGTGGTGGCGCGCAGCGTGTGTGTGCGTGTGTGCGTGTGTACGTACGTCGCCACTCTCCCAGACGAGCTGCAGCGCGGCGAGCGCCCAGAGCGGCCACTCGGCGTGCGGGTAGTGGTGGCGCGCAGCGTGTGTGTGCGTGTGTACGTACGTCGCCACTCTCCCAGACGAGCTGCAGCGCGGCGAGCGCCCAGAGCGGCCACTCGGCGTGCGGGTAGTGGTGGCGCGCAGCGTGTGTGTGCGTGTGTGCGTGTGTACGTACGTCGCCACTCTCCCAGACGAGCTGCAGCGCGGCGAGCGCCCAGAGCGGCCACTCGGCGTGCGGGTAGTGGTGGCGCGCAGCGTGTGTGTGCGTGTGTGCGTGTGTACGTACGTCGCCACTCTCCCAGACGAGCTGCAGCGCGGCGAGCGCCCAGAGCGGCCACTCGGCGTGCGGGTAGTGGTGGCGCGCCAGGCGCGCGGCGTGCAGCGCGCGCGCGGCGCGGCGGCCGGCGCCGGCGCAGGCCCACAGCGCGGCGCACAGCCGCAGCCCGCCGCCGCACTCCGCGCGCGCGCGTAGGCAAGCGCGCGTCGCCTCCTACGCGCAGCACTACCGTCACTACAACCCTTCCATACTCCACTCTTCAATACGCCTTCCCACAACGAATGCCACAAAGCACAGTCCTGAGCCACCTGCATTCATCGACCTGCATATCTTACCAGGTCGTCACTCCATCTAGTGGAGGGACGCCCTATACTTCGCCTAGCGATATACGGGGCTGCCACTTGAGAACCTTTTTTTCCCCATCGGTTACTAGTTCTTCGAGCTACATAGCCGACCCATTGCCATTTCAGCTTACTAATCTGTTGTACTATGCCGGTTACTCTGGTTCTACTGCAGGATATCCTCATTTCTAAGTTTATCATGCAAAGACACCTTGACCATAGCCCTCTCCATAGATCGCTAAGCAATCTTGAGCTTCCTCATACGGCCAGCAGTGAAAGACCACGTCTTAAATCCATAAATCATCACTGGCAACACGCACTGGTTGTGCACTCTCGTCTTCAAATTTTGAAGTATACCTGACGATAAGATGTGTCGTAATTTCCCCAACGCCGCCCAGCCGAGTTGAATACATCGATTAATCTCTCGGTCGAAGTTGGACTTACCTAGTCGGACTATTTGTCCTAGGTAAACATACTCGTCAACAACTTCGAGCTTAGTTTCGAGCTCCCAACTACTATCGGCATAGGTGTGACATGGACATTATACATGATCTTTGTTTTGTCCATATTCATCTTAAGAACTATCCTTTCGGAGACACTATTGAAGAGCATTGAGCATAGTGCTTAGGTCGTCCAGCGATTCTGCCATAAGAACTATATATTCGGAAAATCGAAGGTCAGTGATATACTCGCCATTAATGTTAATATCGCATCCTTTCCAGTCTAGTACCTTGAAAACATCTTTCAAAGCAGCGGTGAAGAGTTTCAGGGATATAACATCACCCAGTCTTACACCTCTCTGCAGTTTAATAGGTTTCGTACTCTGGTTCTGTACTCGGATAGCCATCGTAACCCCACTGTACAAATACTTCAGCAATTCGATATACCGACAATCAACTTGGCACCGCTGAAGGGACTGCAGCACCGCCCAAATTTCGACGGAATCAAAGTCTTTCTCATAGTCCACATATGCAAGACATAGTGGCAGATTGAGTATTGAGTACAATCTGCCGAAGGGTATGTAATGGTCTATGGTGCTAAATCCTTTTCGGAAACCGGCTTGTTCGAGAGGCTGGACGTCGTCACGCAAGACGATTCGTAATAACTCTCGAAACACCACGTAAACGCGGCTCTGAAGGGAAATCGGTCTGTAGTTCTTCAAGAGAGCGTTGTCGCTTTTCTTAAAGAACAGGACCAACGCACTTCTGCTGCACGCCTCCGGACTAGTGCCACCATGAAGTACGGAATTAATGAGCTTCTGAACGACTTCAAGTACCGGTTTTCCACCCGCTTTCAGAAGCTCTGTTGTGATTCCATTCTCACCCGGGGACTTTCGTTTTTAAGGAATAGTGTCACACGTGTTGCTCCAAAGATAATGTGTACAGCTCAAAATCTCGGCTAGAACCTCTCAATCTCACTCAAAATCTCAGGTGTACCGGAAACGATGCTGCCACATTCAGTCTTCGGCTTCGACAGTTGGCTCTTTTTTCAGACAGATCTCTGGCAAAGACTTTGGAGCCCTGGTCCCGCTCAATTGCTTCTTATATACGAGCTGTATTAAAGTTGCGTAAGTCCCGCCGCATTTGGAGATCTGTCTATTCAGTTGCCTGTATTCTGTAAAATCTGATGAAGACTGCAGCTTCATCTCCCGTCTAACAGCCATGAGATAAAGAGCATGATCAGAAAATCTTTGTGTTCTTCTGCGGGAGGTCTAGCAAAACTTAGCTCCGACCGCATGGACAGTTTCCACGAGCTTGTCATTCATATCATCCACTGCATTGCAATCTTCTAGGCACTGAAAACGATTTTGTAACTCGAGCTGAAAGTTTTTCAGGACTTTGGATTAGAATGGGACGGAACTTTAGCTTCATTAGACGTGACCTCTCCAACTTAACGTTTAGGTTCAGTGTGCCTCTTACCATTCGGTGATCGCTGTTAGTTTTCACCCTCGCAATCACTGAACAGTTATCATCTGTAGGGCCGCTTTAGGAAGAAATAGTTCATCATAAAAAGTCCCTCTTTCTCTATGAAATCGGCCAGCTGCTGGCCCCTTGGCTTCCGTTGCCTCATTCCGAATTTCCCTACCTTCAGCTCACCGTTCTCTCTTGTGCCTAGTTTTGCATTGAAGTCTCCCATTAACACTGTATAGTGTGTTTTGGAGGAATGCATGGCTCTAGATGTATCCTCATACATTTCATCCACCTCCGGCAACGGGATGTGCCGAGGTTTTTTTTTTTCATAGGCTTTTTGCTCATAGATAGTTAAAACCTACCACGTATAGCTGCGATCTTCGTACCACAAACTCTATGCTTGCGACGATAAGCAACGCCCGCCACACAAATTGCGATGGCTTATGTGACATTGCCATCGCAATTTGTGTCCCGCTATTGCGGGACGTTAAACTTCTTCCCAAAAATACTTTGAATCTAATATCACAAACACAATTAGGACTACGAACGCGCTCACACCGCGTACAAACTGTACGCACGTACTTTGGCGGTTCGACCAATAGGACACTTCTGTTTGGACGGCGGTTAAACAATGTATAAACAAATGATCATAAACCAAATCATCAATATCACTATTATTTTTTATAAAACTAAGACAGATAACCCTGAGCCTGATAAGGCTGTATGTCAAGGGACTACAACACTATCATCATCTCAGAATATGGATACCGCATTTCAAATCAGATTACAATACGCTTATTTTATTCTTAATTATTAATTACAAAATTCATAACAAGTAATATTTCGCTAAATAATATATTCATAAATTTTCCAGCAGAAAAATTAATCACGATAATGATGGAAAGGCCTTTTATTTGTTTTAGAAGCCCTGAATATCAAATAACCAGAATATTCCTTTAGAAAATTGGTAGGGGAATTTACTAGACCAAAAGACAACATTGGTAACATGATATTATATTATTATTAAATCATTGATAATAAATTTGGTGAGAATTTTAATTTGACTCCCATTAATCTTAAATCCTCGAATTTCTCTTTTGGCTTATAACTATTTGTAAGCAAAAAATTTTAAATTATTAAGTCTCAAAAAATTTTATTGGCGTTACTTTTCCAACTCAATAGAATAATAATTGAAATATATTGAAGATTAAATCGTAAAGGTAAATTAATACACATAAAACAAAAATTTAATTTAATAACTAATGACGCACAGTGATAATAATCCAATGAACATACCATTGCCTCATTCAACATTCCTATGTACATATATTGCAACGCTAGATGGTAGAAGGCCAGGTGGTCGTTGTCGTCCAGTTCCACTGACTTTAACAATTGCTTTAAGCTCAAATCGTTCGCAGCGTCCTTCTCGATACGAGAATTTGTTTTCTGAAAACAAAACTTTATAGTAGCAGGAAAAATAGGCCAAAGATGAAACTAAGCTTTCCACTTTCGTTTCGTTGTGTAATATTATATTTATAAAGTGTAAAAGTTGTAATAAATTACGCTAAATATAATATAAAAATTCCGAACAAAATTTTTAATTTAAAACTTTTTACCAGGGTTTCACGAGATTAAATTAATGCGAATTCTTATGTAGGTACTTTTTGTAAATACGTAAGCACAAAAGTGAGCTTAGCTAAAAAAAAAATTATTTAGATAATGTACAACCTGCGCTCTCATCTGATGCCCAATGCCGGAGTATAGGTAGCACCGTGCTAACATTGGACCATTTCTCTCAATTTCTATCGCCAACGCTTCATCCGCCATCTCTATACCTTCCTCTATCTATGGACAATATTCATTGTATTTAAACTTTTTCACAGCATTTATCATGGTACACACCTAGTGTACCAATAGCATACCACTGTACCTAGTGTACCAATACGACTGTACCACAGGTACAAAGGATGCTATTATTACAGTTTAACAAAGTCCACTGCTTAACATGGGCCTTAGATTTATATGGGATGGTGAAAAACGACTACCGCCGCCTATGAACAACTGCAACACCTGGGGAATTGCAGATGCGTTACCGGCCTTTTAAAAAAGAATAGGCTCTTCTCTTGAAGGTCCCTAAGTCGTATCGGTCAGAAAAAATCGCTAGTGGTAGTCGGTTCTTCTTGTAAATCGCAGAATGGTGGACCGCCAATCATCCAGATGGTTTGTATGGTATCGCGAGTTTTGTCGCGAAGTGCGATGAAAAATTTGAGCGACTGGAATTAGTCCGAAGATTTCCTCTGAGCACTCCCCTAATATATTTTCCATATTTGACAGGCCGGTTAGCAATCGTAGTATTTTATTATTTTGTGTCGATTTAGGACTCCGGTTTCACTATCCTTCTCTCGACCCTCACGACACTGCAGCTATATATGGCTGCGGCACAAATGGGTCGGCTCGGTCAGGGTACGCTCTCATTGAATACCAGTGTGAAACAGCAGAATAATGTGTTGTCACTACTAAAAACCGGTTTTAGTAGTAACGAGGCATTCCATTTTTTTTTTGCGTGGGTACAATTAATATACTATACAATTAATATAGCTGCAGCAGGGCTCTACTAGCATTTTAGTCCTCAGGGGTGATAACGCGTCTGGATTTTGATTCCAAAACAACTTATTTACTTATTATTATCATTAAGTGGACCGTGTGCTCATTTGCCTCCCTTACAAAAATAAAAATACGCACAGGATGAGAATAATATCATCCCTATAGTGTATACTCATAAGTGGCAGCGGACCTCTACATAACGAAGATATTCGTAATGTAGAGGTTGATAGAGGGAGAGAGAAAGAGAGAGAGAGAGAGGGGGGGGTTAGGTTGTGTGTTGCGACTGACCCAGCCGGCGCGGAAGCAGTTGCTGGCGGCGACCAGGCGCAGCGGCGCGTCGTGGCGGCGCAGCGCGGCGGCGCGCCGGCACACGCCCAGCGCGCGCACGCCCGCGCCCTGCCCGCGGTACGCGCCGCTGCCTGCACCCGCCATGCGTCATGCCTTGTGCGTTGTGCGTTGTGCCACACCGACACACGCACACATACACACAATCTCTGCACTCGTAAACGCATTTATAGCCACATAAACGACTCTACATTCATAGCTCCACACACACACACACCTACTTAAATAAAATAAATATATACGACAATAACACCATTTACAATGTAACGTTGTTTGTCGCGGTGTAAAACAGTCATAAGGAGCGTCAGAAAAAATCTTATGGCAGCCGTAAATTACACAAATCAGTGACAGTAAACATTGTCAAAGGTACGATACGATACATCTAGTAAAATAGAGCAAATTCTCCCTGCAAAGATACAGGTTCATGTCCAGCACTGGACTTTTACATGCTGGTGAAAGGGAAGTGAAAACCTCGGTCTTCAACGAAATTTACTTGTAAAAACAAACTAGTTAAGAGCTTCTCACCATTTTCGTTATCAAACCGCAAACACTTCACTACTAGAAAAAGCCTCCTATAGCAAACGGAATACCTTCTTCTTTTTCTTCAACCCGTAAAAGTCCATTATTGGACATAGGACGTCTATTGACGGCTCCATGGTGCAGTGGTTTATCAATGAGTTGTTGCGCTGGGGGTCGCGGTTTCGAATCCCGCACGGAACATGTATTTGTATGGCCTACAGATAATTGTTCCGGGTCTGGATGTTTGTCCTCGTGTTTTTTAATTTATGTTTGTAAACTGCCTCCACGACACAGGAGAAAATCCTAGTGCGGGGGTAACATTAATAAATAGGCCTCTCCAAGTTGTACAAGTACAAATACAAGTACCACCTTGACTGACATAATTTCTAGCTGCTAAAACTGCTGGTAAAACTCGAACATCATGAAAGTACTGCGAGGGTACTAAGCGGTAAATGCTACCCTGATCCCGGGACTCCTCGTTTGACCTTATGGTGACCACCGTGGGCTTTTAGCCGGTAAGAGTACGACATGAGCTTTCCGTCGCCCCCGCAGTAAAAGGTATCCATGAGGAATTCCCCGTCCGAGTATGTTTTGGTAGGTACCACTTTCTTACATTTTTCTGTCAAAAATACCAAGACTATTCACACTTTGACGTTCTCTAATGTCAGTTCGTAAATTGTAAGTTTATGATGTAAGAAATTGTTATTAATTAAGGAAGAATGGAATAAGTAAGGCACGATAAGGATGAAGTAATTAAATGTAGAATTGGTAATCACACATAATGCAAATATGAATGTGCAGGATTATGCGTGTATTGGGGTCGTATTAGTTCGTGTATACACACAGGCGTTGTGTACGTGCATTGCATGTGTACGTTAGTATGTTAGCGTTACCGTTACAGCCTATTAAAGTCCACTACTGAACATAGGCCTCTCCATAGATTGTTTCAGGGGAGAAATATTTGCCATAGTTGCCACGCTTGGCAAGCGGGTGGTTACCGCAGTTTATATCTTTAGTAGTTAGGAAGACGCTGCTGCCCATCTCCTTATTTGCTTTCCTCTGTCGCCTCTTAGGACACCCACAGTATGATATGGGGTAGTTGATATTCTTACACCGCCACTACATGATACGTCAGTATGTACATGAGCATTATGTACAAGTGTGTGCACTTACACACATATAACGGGTGTGCATACGAAAGTGTGCGATTATGCATTTAAGTGCGTCTACGTTTGTGCGTTAAGCGTCTCCCATACACAAGCGGCTTGCGGTGGCAGCTGCGGTGGCGGCCGCGGTGACGCCCAGTTGTATTCGCGTGCAATGTAAGTGAGTCTGCAAACCCAAGAGGCCTTGTTGCGGCCTGTGAGCGACTGGCCGCGGCCGCGTGACCAGCGCTAGCGCGTGTGTTAGTAAGCATGCCTATCGGTGGCTGCAGCGCGGTCAGTTGCAAATTTTTACAACAGGCCGCGTGTACCTCGTGCAAAATGACGCTAAATTCAGAGATTGTAATTATCCAAAACTTTATGATATTTAATTTAATTGCGAAGTTATCAAAACTTTATGATATTTTGCACCGTGATTACAAAAGCATTAGAATTAAAAACAAAATATGGGATAATATTGCCGAATATAATAAGAGTAATACGACTTTGTCATGGTTAGCCATGTTGACTGACGTTCGATCGTAGCGCAGACACCACAGCGAATGGAGTTTCAGGTCGCAACTGCAACCGCAGTGGTGTTTTTGTAGCGGCTGGAGCCGCAGCTTGCAGAAAGCCGCTTGTGTGTGGGAGACGGTTTCGTGTATAAGTGCATGTACGTTCGTGCGTTAGTGTATCGGTTCGTGTACGTTCGTGTGTTGGCGTATTCGTACGTGTACGTTCGTGCGTTAGTGTGTCGATGCTTGTACGTTCGTGAACTAGTATGTAAGAGTGCGTGTACGTGTACGTATGCGATACCTGAGGGCGAGTTCGAAGCGGCAAGCGGGCGCGCGGCGGCGGCGGCGGCGAGTGCCCGCGCGCGCCACACGTGCGCGCACCCGAACGAGAACTTCATCGCGCGCTCCAGCGACTGCCGACAACGCCTCCGTATTAACAACTGTTATAGCATTCTACATATTTGTCCACAAGAACATATTCCTTAATGATATAGCATACAGTCCACCTCGTGGTAAGTGGATGTTGTGTCCCATTGACACCTACATATATTCTTTTACAAAATAATAATAATAATAATAAAGTCTTTATTTATCTTCTCACATAACATAAAGTAAAACAATGTAAATCTAGTAGTACATAAACAGAATTTTATTATGTGAGAAGCTGGTGCCTGAAGTAGGCATATATAAGCCTGTAGTACAAGTCACCAGGTTCTCACCCCTCGAATGCTATGGCATTGTATGAAATTATTCTAGGAACACAATAGATAGATAGATAAAAAAAGTTATTCTTATATTGTAATGAAATATAATTACAACGAAGATCCAGGATAAAATACTAATTAAGAGTGTATTAGGATATCAAATGTGTAAATACATATATGTATGTATGTATGTATGGTGTTATATATTTATATTAGTGTAGTGTATAGTATGTGCGCGCGCGCGCATGTGTGTGTTTGTGTGTGTTTGTGTG